CGAGGTGACCTCGAGGAGAGGGACATGTTATGGAGCGCCGTCGGCTCGCACGGTTGTCGCTGCCGACTGGCGCGGTAATCGATTTGATGTGCGCGTATTCCCCCCCCGTGAGGCCTTATCACTTCCGTTATACACTGGTATCATTGGCTCGGATCAACTCGGTGTTACGCTAGTACGGGACACTCGCACGAGTTCTAGCAGTGACTTCTTGATTTCTTCGAAGGGATGCTTCAGCCGAGTCGCCTCATGGCCATGATTACTTTCGCGGTTGTCTGCTCGAAGGCAAAGCCGCCTCCGCCGAGAGGAAAATACTTCAACCAAGTCGTCCCTGATAATGTGTGTATCGAGGCCCACTGGGTCGACGATCCTTGCCGTCCAGAGGAGGACTTGGCTCTGCTGCTCCTTTGTGATGGCCGTCGAGTTGATTCGGTTCCTATGGAAGTGCGGACCAAGGGATTCAACATCTTCGAGATCGCTCCAACTAGTAGGGAGGAGTACGATGACTTCTTGCATGTTGCCGAACAGAATTGCCACTCATATCCCGTGGATGACGGTCATCTGCATCAATTCACTTACAACGAGAAGGCGAATACCATCGAAGTTAAGCTACGTGATGGAGTCGTGACTCTGAAGAGCGGCGCCTGTCTCTAACAACTTGGCGGCTACGAAGACGAGTAGCAGACTGCTACCAGCACTGCTGGTCCAGCAGTAACCCAAACAGAAGCCCTCCTCTACCGAGCTGGGTAACAGTTGCTTTGGCCGTACATGGCCGCTTTTGTATTCGCAGAAAAACTTTTGTACTCGATGGTCGGAACTTTCTTATCTGAGGACGTGTTATGTTGCGAAAACGTTTTATCGAAAAAAAGAGACAAACCGATGAGTCACAGTGAGAACGTTTTATCGAAAAAAAGAGACAAACCGATGAGTCACAGTGACTCATCATGAGTGTGACCCTTGAGCGGCCACCCTTCGCAAAGTGAAAAACTTCAGTCACCACCACTTCAGAGTATCACTACACTGCATTGAATACAGCGACACACGTATCATATCGATGCAGATGAGTCAAAGTACGTCGCCAAAACGTAAAGATGACCATCTGACTGACGCACGATCCTTCCTCAGCTCATTTTCAGCCTGGTCAAATCATGCCTCTAAAAGGTACTTGGCGGGCCGTGGACAGAACTGGAAAAGCAAGGACCCTTGCTTAAGAGTTCAAGATCGGCGCGAGGGGACGGAGGATTTGCAAGTGGGCAAGATCTGGCAGTTGGGTGATGTCGATGATGAGTTGACGATACGGCATGTGTTTGCATCGTACATTACTAACTAGGTCTGAGAGTCGAGGTGATGTTACCTATTTAATTCACTCGTCTGTTAGTTGTGTCTGAGATTGTCCGATTCTGCAGCCAAGGGTGGGAGCGTCGAGTTAGCGATGCTTTGGGTGGGTACAGTGGATATACCGGTGCCGGAGCAGGAGAGATTGAATATATGAACCAGTGAATTAAAACGAATTCCCGCATGGTAGCTGAAATCTCACAGCTGCAGCGCCAACCCCGAGTAGCTCATTGACTTTATTTCATAACATAACTTCCCAGCTAAAGATAACCCATCATTGATGTTATAAGTGAATCACTCGATCTGATCGACACAAAGTTGTTGTGATTTTGTTGTGTGTCTCTAGTCTCCACGATTGTGTTCTGATATCTTCTAGCGTCGAGCTAGTGGACTCGGTCCACCACTAATTATTAAGTTGTTGACGTCATTAGTGTTGCTTTGGCTCTACTGTGGTATCTACCTTATCCTCAAGTTCATCACCTAGAACCTTTGTATACTTTGACGGCAAAGAGTCTTGAGTTGTCTCAATTCCATCATATCATGCGCATGTCTTGAAGATCGCGCTCGGATGAATTATCTTGTGTACCTGATCCGTCCGCAATACTTCGAACAGATCGGTGTAGTCCTGGGGAACTCATGCTTGGTCCACTGGAGTTTCACCGGCAAAGCGCGTAACTCAAAGCAAGCGATGCGTTGCGTGGCCGTGAAGCTTTGCGACGCGTAGTTCGCCTTATAACGGTGAGAAGACATTTCACACTCGGGTCAAGAAGACTGATCAAACTGGTCGACTGAATTCCGCGTTACGGATGACTGGAAATATTAACTAATTGACTTCCGCTGCGCGGTTCCTGTAACGGGAACGTCGCGACGTGTGCCTACCGCATGGTCTCCGCTCTCCCTCTCGTCAACTAAGATCTGGAAGTTCCTTGTGAACTTTTCATTTGCTCCGTGAGTGAGCCCCTCAGGATTCACCACTGGGAAGCCCGACACCGCTGACACCCGAACACCTCTACGAGCAGGCGACGCCGTATAATTCATCACCAACCTAAGCCAAGATGCTCAGTACGAGAACAGTGACGGTTCCGAAGCTAGTCCGCGATGCACTAGATGGTCCTGTTATGTAGTGTATCAACAACCTCATGGATAAAAAATCATCCCTCGAGTCGTCCTGTTGCCCTACAGTGCCCTTGCAGCAGTAGTGCAGTAGCATCCGCTTATTCCACTCCCTCCCGTGAGATAGCATTTCCCAATCGGCTTTCCATACATGCGGCCTGAAGGTGCAGGAGTGCATCCATCGAGGTCTAGTACGGGAGAAGGCGCACTTCCTATCCCATCGACGGCGCTGATGTTCCCCAGCGAAACATCAAATTCCAGTTGAGGCATTGTCCTTCTGAGGAACGAACAAGATGTTTCACTCACCCTCGCTCTTCGGCGGGTGGTGTTTCATCGTACGAGGTGCCACATTGACTTACAAGCCCTCTTCAGCAGGTCGCCAGACCTTGAGCTCAAAGGTATCGCCACTCGAGCTGCTCGAGTCGAGCATATGGAGCTCAAGATTCCGACGACAATGATGTACACGGCGGAGATTCCCTCAACGCTCAACATCCAGGTAGCAGTGAATCTTTCGACTCTGGCCAAGCCGTTAGCTTAGCCTAGCTCAGCTCAACTTAGCTTACCGCGGACGGGCCCACTGAGGAGCGCTCCATCTCCTTCCAAGAGAAATGTCGGTGGCCGCGTTTCGATGACAATGTCATCATGACATCAGTTGAATATATTCATTGGGGGAAAAGTCATCCACTAGTGTTATACAGCTCTTTTTTGCAAGACGGGACGGGACTCGCCAGTGGAGTTCATGTTTACCATATGGCCCTGCCTCAGTAGATCGGAGACATTGTCGAGCTAGGCTGGAGCGCGGGCCCGCGCGTCACGCCCTAGGTGTTCTGCACGGCGTGGCACGGCGGGCATGCACGCTGAGTCAAGCTCAATAGTTCTACCCCGGTCTGGAGGTCCCGGATCTCTCCACATGGTTCATACCACTCAGTGAGTGGCACTCACTCATTCCCCTCGAACAAGCGAATTGCTTACTCCTTGCAAAGGCAACTCACGCCAGACCGAATCGTCGTGATCGCACTTGTCGTGGTGCTCTGTTCGGAGGGTTGCCAAATCATTCGGCAAAGTACTTCAAACAGGTCGTTCCTAACAAGTTGCGTGCAGACGTATTGGCTCGTCAAACCTGGCCGGCCGGATAAGGACGTCGATTTTATGGTTTACTGCGGTGCAAGCTCTACCAGATCGGATCTGGCAGATCCCCGATTTGGAAATTCCGACTTGAAATTGGGGCTCACGGCTGTCCAAGTTGGACCGTCTAACACCGGTTTTCGACATCTCGGAAGGCTCTGCTCCAGCAGTGCTGGATCAGCAGCAACCAAATACAACGATTCCCTCAAGGAAGCTCGTGAAGTTTGCCGGAAGCTTTCGGGCCGAAGGAGCATCGTCTCATCCCGATCGATTTTTATAGGTGCAACTAGCATGCCGGAATCAATGTGGGCGAAGGTTTCACATTGGTTCCGGAACAACGTGTGCTGTGAATATGAGCCGCATCAGTTCGGAACTGAAGGGCTGGCGCAGCTCTCACAGGTGATTCCCCGACAACTGATGTACAATCACGTGACGACGTCACGGAGATGTATCGAACGTCCGATATAGATACCCAATACAGCACCACCGCTCTCAGGGTGCCCTGACTACGGCATCCTTGTCGTCGTTGAGAGGCACGGCGGGATGGGCGGAACCGCCCAGGGCGGACATTGGTGGGAAGTCAAGAAACGGCTCTCAAAGCGGCCTACAAACGACGGTTAGTAACAAGCCTCAGGGCCCTCACTCACGGGAAACGCAAGCTCGTTCACCACCAGCGCTAGCGCCCGAAGCAGCTTCGGCGAAGCTTACAGGCTGTAAGTTACAGCCGTCTATTCAGCACCACAGCACTGTCTCCGTGCACAGCTGACAATCTATGCTCAATGACCGAGCCTCGACTGCTCGTCATGCGGAATCGAGTAAATCATGTGTGTGACGTATCGAACGCCCAGTGCAATTACCCTCCAGTACGAGCCTCGTAACGTGGAGTCCAATGTACTCAGTCACTTGAGTACGTGACGTCGAGCCAGGCATCAGTCGCCTCAGACGGGTAGTCAAGTTCCGTCCCCCAACCCCTACACACAGCGGCCCTGAGGAAGGCCGTTTACTGCGAAGGAATGGCCTTACACCGATCCAGGCACATTCGTCTGACTTACACGCAGGAAGCCACTAACACAGAGCCGTGCCGTAAGAGCAACGACTCCTAGGTTGGGTTTTAGTACTACCGCACTACTTACTGCCGCCTACGCAGTCTTACTGCCGAATACTGCGGACTTGGCAGTGTCGAGCACTCGAACAACACGAACTCTGTGTCACCAAGCAAAGTGTCAAGATAGGATTCAAAGTGCCGGGCCAGACGGATTACACGCTCACGCGACACGCTGTCACTCTACAGCAGAAACTGAAAGCGAGCGGCAGAGTTGTAGTTCGGGGTGACATGCCGTGCTGACCGCCCTTCAAATGATAGTGGGAATATTACGGGTTCCGATTCAGATTGTCTATTGGAAGAGCTAGAAGAATCAAAGTTATTTGTTGACCTTGTGGCGCAATTGAAGCGCGTCGGGTTCCGGAGGCGAAGGTTACGGGTTCAAGTCCCGCCAGGGTTAGACAGTGTTGTTACGTCTATGTCTCTTATCAACTGTGACAAAATAGCGATAGCGTATAGTAACGGAAGGCTGTCCTAGGAACAGACAACTCCGATCTGATGTGCACCCACATATACTCAGGGCGGGACTTGAACCCGCAACCTTTGGATTAGAAATCCAACGCTCTATCGGATTGAGCCACCAGAGCCGACGTCATTGGTGACATGCGATGCTGAGCGCCCTTCAAATGATAGTGGGAATATTATGGGTTCCGCTTCAGATTGTCTATTGGAAGAGCTAGCAGACTCAACTCCATTCGTCGACCTTGTAGCGCAATGGAAACGGGTCGGTTTCCGGAGCCGGAGGTTGCGGTATCAGTTTCCGCCAGGTTTGGGTAGCGTTGTTTCGTCTATGGCTCTTATCAACTGTGACACGATAGCTATGGCGTATAAACATGGAAGGCTGTCCTAGCAACAGACAGCTCCGATCTGATGTGCCACCACATATACTCCGGGCGGGACTTGAACCCACAACCTTTGGATTAGAAGTCCAACGCTCTATCCGATTGAGCCACCGGAGCCGGAAGCGTTGCCGAGATGCGGTGCTGAGCGCCCTTCGAATGGTAGTGGGAACATTTTGGGTTCCGTTTCAGATTGTCTGTTGGAAGAGCTAGCAGACTCAATTGCATTCGTCGACCTTGTGCCGCAATGGAAGCGCGTCGATTTCCGGAGCCGAAGGTTGCGGGTTCAAGGCCCTCCAGGATTAGATAATGTTTCAAAGTTGGCAGGTGTTTTATCAACTGTAACACGATAGCCATAGCGTATAGTCACGTTAGGCTGTCCTGGGAACAGACAGCTCCGACTTGATGCGCCGCCAAACATACTCTGGGCGGGACTTGAACCCGTAACCTTTGGATTAGAAGTTCAACGCTCTATCAGATAGAGCCACCGGGGCCAAAGTCACGACAGGGCCAAGCCGAGACATAATCGAAACTGGGTGGTTATCAAGGGCAAGAACACCGTTCCCGGTATGTGGAACGGGCGAACGAAAAATGGCCGAAGTGCTTCTCCGACTCGGAGACTTCGAGTCGGAGAAGTGCTAGCGAAGGCTTCCGCCGAAGGCTAGGCTCGCACATCGACGCTGTTTGTAGTTAGGGGCCGAGCCACGGTGGCTCAGCGGGTGGTTAACAGCCCCTGATATGATTGAATAATAATGATTCGCCTCTTAAAAAAATACGCAATTATGCTGCAGTGTAGCCCTTCGTATGTCTCACCTACTCACCCAGGGTGAGTCACCCTGCTGATAGTCGCCTTCATATATGGGGTGGCCCGGCCACCCCATATATGAAGGGTCGGAAGGGTCGGCCACCGTGGCCGACTTCCCTCCGAGCAAGGTGTATCTTAGTGTGGACGATGATAGCTTTCAGACCACATGGAAGTTCAGCCCTTCGGCTACTGCCCCTGTGGGTACTGTCAACGTCACTGCTAAGTATTTCGTGACGAAATTTTCGTGGATGTACTAACGTTCATCGCCTCGTACGTCACGGGTGAGATTCCATATGATGTGGATGCCGATGAGTCTACGCTGAAACTGGATACATCAAGTTTGAACTTCATCGCCTCCGCGGGGACATTCGACCTCGATGTCGGGGACTGGGAGAGAATCCGCTACAATCACGTCGACAACATGTTCACTATGCTATACCGTGGTAGTCCGACTACCGTAGTCGCTACAGGCTCTATACACCCCGCTTTAGCGAGTTTAGTGGCTTTCTTCGTTAGCCCGGCTACCTTACTAAGGTAACCTTAGCCGCTGGAACTTCCATCGCCTTCCAGCCTGGAAGGCGCGGAGACGTCTCAGGAGTCCATCAGGATGATAATTCCCGAATCAGATTTTCGTTAACTTGAACTCTCGTACGCCTCCCGACGGGAGGCTTCCGTAATCATTGCATAACTTTTTCATCTGATTCGATACTTTTAGATCATTCGAAGCTGAGCTGGACCTCAGGATCTTGCAGATGGCGTACCAGGCTGTGCACCTTATCTTGAATCTTGAAGAAGGCTCCGGGTTATCCGCTCCGACAAGTTGTCTACTGCGAGCTTGGATGGGTTGAAATAGCTCTCTTGCCAAGTACTCTCGCGCTGTTAGTCCTGGGTCAGACCTGGAGACGACTTAAATAGATCTGTTCGAAAGGATACGTTTCTAAATTATCCTCCTTGATTCTGACAGCACGCTGACACAGGCTGTGACTCACAGCGTTCCTATGGTGTATTGAGGCAGAAGCACACGCCGTGTGCCACACGGTGTACTGACCGTGAAGTATTGCTCCAGTATTTGTGTAACAGTGCCACAGTGGCACTGCCACTGTATACCCGTCGTCAGAGTGAAGCTCTGAGAGTTCTGAAACGCTGTCAAATACTACGAAGCTCTCGCGCATATTACGCGAACTTCCGAAATTCATCATGCGATCACCACTTCCGTATCCACCAGCCGATTGAGCTCGGTGCCAAGGGCTTGTGTGCGAGCTCACCACCCAAGTACTCCTACTACCCCAGTAACAGTCAGCCTCGTCTCAAGCGAGCTGAGATTGGTGGCCTGTCATTCGAGTTCTAATGACGAATCGTCATTGACGATCTATGTTAATAATATCTATGCAAAACCATCCTACTCGTTAGCCACAAACTAACCTCGGCGTACGAACAAGTCCTGCTATTCCATAGCAAGGCAGCACTGAGTTGTAGTTATCGGCTCATTAGTGATTCATTTAATGTAATTCGAGGTACAATGCCAGGATTTCACTCACAACATACTTCTTGCGAGCGCAATGGTTCACAGTGTGAACCATTGGTGTGAACCGTGTGAACTTCACACGGTATCAATAATACCGCGAAAAGTCAGAAACCAGGGCGACACTGATCTCGTCGAGGTTAAGAAACGAAGATGGAGTTCGCTCCAGCGACTCCAAAAGGTTCGATACCACCGTCTGGGGCGAGACGAGGGCGAATGGCCAAGGAACCGGACTCAGGTGCTCTGAGCATATGCTAACGAACAGCCCAGCCTAGATTGAGAGGCCGAATCTCGAATTTCGAAGTCGTTGGGTCAGCATTCAAGAGGCCGGTTTGAACCTCTCCCAGTGGAAGCTTCACTGCATGTGTCAACTCAAACCGTAGGGCGCCTTGAAGAGATGTTCTGCACGTCTAACGAATGGAGTATGCGCTAGAGGAGAAGGAAAAGCGATCACGAAAGAGCGATCATTTCTGGAATAATAGAATGGGCCGACACTCCATACGGAGTTGAACGAAATTGGACCTGACTAAATGCGCTCTGAGAGCGCCGCCCTCCAGTGGAGAACGTCAATGCAATCGACTAGGGCTTGTACATACAAACTTTTCCCTTGGTCGGTCCGAAATCTTGGCAGTAACCGGGGGCGTAGCAGTCCTGAAAGTACGCAATTGCAACAGCGTTGACTTCCCCTCAAACCGAGGCCTCTTACTTGATCCTTGTTGCAACGGAGCACGCAGGCTCCGAAAGGCTGGCATTCTGGGGAGTGTCCAGGGGCTGGAGGACAGCTGCTGATACCCGAGCACCTCTTCGAACAGACGACGCCGTATAACGCATTGCCGACCTGAATCAGAATACGAGAACAGTCCCCACACAAGATCCATAGCTAGACTGTGATGCACAAGATGTCCCTGTTAAGCATTGTATCAATATGAGTTTCATGGATAAAACTCATCCCTTTCGTTGTCCTTTTGCGCTACAGGCCGACGCCATAACCGACTTCTCGGTCATCACCCGATGACAGGGTGGCTGAGGGTGGGGAATTACTTTCATACTATGAAGTTCATAGTTCACCGGAATACTCTCGGGGAAGGGAAGAGAGGGGTAATTTCGGGGAAAATTGCATCACTTTGTGGGAGTTATGAGAATCAAGTGCCGAATCATTCGGCCCGAATGTCGATGAGCCATCAGTAACTGCATCAGACCGATGATTCCCTTCTCACCGCGGCGTGTATGATGGCAGCAGTATTGCAGTAGCATCCGCTTATTCCACCTCCTCCAGTGAGGTGGCATTTCCCAGCCGGATTTCCGTACATGCGACTTGAAGGTCCAAGAGTGCATCCATCGATGTCTAGTACGGGAAAAGGCGCACTTCCTATCCCATCGGCGGCGCTGACGTTTCCCAGCGAAACAATTTCCAGTTGAGGAACCTTTCTTCTGAAAAACGAACAAGATGCTTCACTCACTGTCTCGCTCTTCGGCGAGCGGAGTTTCATCGCGTGGGGTGCCACTGTGACTTACAAGCCTTCGTTAGCAGGTCGCCAGGCCTTGAGCTCAACGGCATCGCCACTCAAGCATAAGAGTCCGACGACAATGATGTATGTGATGAAGACGCTGTACATATAGGTAGCAGTGAATGTTCCAACTCTAGCCAAAGCGGCGTTAGGTTAGCCTGGCTGAGCTCAGCTTAGCTGAGCGACGCACAGACGATGACGCGCTCCACCTCCTTTCGAGTGAAATGTCATTGGTCGCGTTCCGATGATATCATTTGGATGTATTCAACGGGGGAGAAGTTATTCACTAGCGTTATGCAACCCTCGCCCACGAGAGGGATCGGAAATCACCAATGCAATTCATGTTGGTCGTTTGGGCCAGCCGCAGTAGGTCGGAGACAAGCTCCGCTCGAGCGCGGGCTCGCGCGTCACGCCCTTCGTGTGCAGATTGAAACGTTCCTTAATAACGAGCAATACATGAATTAGTCATCACATCTTCCTGCTCTAAGGCTTCGACCGACTTCTTCTGCATCTTCCTCCATCCTCGCGGTCACCGTCCCAGTCGCCAGTCCTCCGACGCTTGCTCCAGCCGCTGCTATTTTGTTTTTTTTCTTTTCACAGCAAATATTCAATGGTGGGCCTCGTACAAAACAGAGGCGGAAAACCAAAAGTTGTGCCTGCCCGGCACTACAATAAGCCCCTGCGAGCATCGAGATACTGCATGAGGGCCGAACAAAGTTGATTGAAGGACTTGCGTCGCTTCAAATCAACAATTAGTTTATATAAATGGTTGGGGACACCACCTTTGACCCTATTCCTAGCCTGCTGCAGGAGCGGACAGGAGAAGAGGTAGTGCCGCGTGTTCCCCACCGGCGCCCCACAGTCACACTCTGGCGAGTTGACCACCCCGCATCTATAGAGATGGGCTGTGGTTGGGGCCCTTCGGAATACAACGGCACTGCTAGCTGCCGTGACTTCCCCGCGGATCCACAAACGAGCGTGTGAAGCGCAGTAAAAGAAGTCATTGACAGAAGTGCCCAGGCTGGCTCTCTTGTCTGACCACCACTTGCGCAATGACAGGCGGCCAGCTTCTCCTTGATACCGCCGAAGAGTCCTCACACTGATTTTCGTCTCCGCAGAGACTTCCCTCATGGAGGCACCCTTGGCTGCCAGCTCATCGGCCCGTTCGTTGGCACTGATGGAACTGTGCCCCGGTACCCATCGAAGGGATACCCTACCAGGGATTTCGGACAAGGACAGATAGATCTGTCTCGCCTTATCCCACCGGGCCGTGGATGCACGGGACGACAGGATCTTGAGTACCGCCTGAGAGTCCGTGAAGATCTCCCAGGCCTCGTCACCCGCTGTCGACGCAATCCAGTGGACTGCTTCCAGAACTCCTAGGAGTTCGCAATCCGTAATAGTAGCGTAGGGGGAGAGCTTCCAGAAATTGGAGTAGACCTCTCCGCCCTCACGATAAACGACCATTGCAGCGCCGGTCTTGACGTCCTTGACCACCGAGCCATCCGTGAAAATGACATTCTTGGTTCGGAGAGCCTCGAGTGCGTAGCTCTTGGCCTCCTCACGTTCCATGATGGTAGTCGAGACCCAGGGGTGCCAAGGTTGAGTGGGCAAAGCCCTCCAGCGCTGCACTGTATCACCGCCATCGCAACCCTCATGCACCTT